GGATGTGCTGCTCGAGCACCTTCGAACGATGCCAATCCATACCGTGAGGGGGGGGGGAGTGGTGCTGAGCGGGCAAGGGGCTGGATGGATGGATGCACCAGAGCAAGGGTGACAGTAGATGGCCTGGAATTTTCGCCGGAAACAGCAAGCAGGAGCGCGAACAGGACATCAGCTATCCTCGCTGTAAAAACGTGCATGGGGATTAATAAGTTCAAGCGTCATAACCACAGGGAAGCGGCGTTAACATTTCAAGGACAATAACTCTTCGTCCCCGGCGCTGTTGCTTGGCATCATGAGATGTTCGCTAATTGCACACTATCGGTTCACCTTGCGACGTCCCTCTGTCTTGCACTATAGGCTAACGCTACAACTTGTGAGACCCTCAAACCAACAGCAGTACTGGTGCGCGTGCGTCAAAATTCTCTACTCCTTCCACAAGCAATGCATCGCGAGGAATAGTTGCCTGCAGGTCCCCCCGTTCCTTCCTTCTATTGTATGCGTACGCTTTGGTTGAGTCTCATAAATGAACGAATGAACAGCTCTCGAAAGAAGGTATGCCATCGTTCCCTCCGTTCAAATTCAAATAGGAGCGATTTACTCAAACCTTGCGTGGAGATATGCCTGAGTGATCGACGATGTTATGCACGACTCTGACAGCAGGTGCCGTAGCAGACCTTCATCGGTTCTCGGTGGACAGAGGTGTCGCGGGTCGGACATGAACTTTCTATCATACTCTGTTTTTCAAATCACTGGGCACCATTTCTGAATAAAATCTCGCATTTACTCCGGAGAGTTCACTTAACCCGACCGTACCTGAGCTATGGGGTGGTGCGCTTGCATCGGTGGACCTGATTGAAGGTCACGCTCTGCATGGCCTCTTCCTCTGACACGGGAATGCCGTGGTTGGCTGTCCCTAGAACGTTCGAGAACATGACGGTACCAAGCCCACTCAGGGGGGTATCCGCCTACATAGTTCGATAGAAGTGGGGGGGGGGGGAAGAGTGGGTGAGACGCAATATATGAAGACGCACATGCATATCCCTTCGCTCTGCTATGCATACTACTGGTGACCTCTTCGTTTCGCATCAGTGGCGCGGCATGGGGGGACCCGCTGCGACCGCCTTTTCTCAGTTGTTGTTGTTGTTGTCTTGACATTGAAAGAAAAAAACTTTCCGATCTCTGACACGCCATATTTCTCAGGAGTTTACTCGGTATTCTGTATTTTACGGCCAATAATGTTTTCAAAGGGGTACATCGAAATCCCGGATGAAAAAGAAAGAGAAAAAAAGGGTGGTGGGAAGAAAAAATATGGCGCAGAGGAGAATCGAATCGACTGATCTCACAGCACAGCAGTTGCATAAGATACCACGCCCCCCTGGACCGATTTCCAAAGGCTGATTATTCCACACCAGAACGAGTGGCGAGGCCGGAAATGGCTGCATTGGAACTGTCTCGTGGAGAGTTTTTTCGAAAAAGTATTGTTTGATTTTCGGAATCGTCTTCGTCGTGGAACATGATAGGTTGACACTTGGTCAAGGGGGTGTGGTATCTTGTGCAACCTACGGTTACCGTCAATTCTTCCTTTGAACACGATTATTTTGCATGCGTGTGAACGACCTGTGTCAATCGAGCAACCCATGTAAAACAATTGGGTGTCATGAGCGCTGGGAGTTGGTTGAAGCATGTGGACGGTCGACGCGGTCGATGCTATGCATGTGTGTGGACAGGTCAGATACAGCAGATATGGCGGTGTTGTTACTGTTTCGTACGTGCTGTTGAAGAAAACGAGCGCCCCCCCCCAAAAAACAAAACCGTTGAAAATAACGAAAAGTGCCTACCCGCCCTCCAAAAAGCTCTTTTATGAGGCTGGGTCCTTACTGACGCCTCCGGCATAATCCCCGCTCTGTACATGGTGAGGAAGAGCCGCATACACGCAGTAGGTCGAGAGCCGTTGGGTGTGCAGGACCAACTGCTGGTGTCTGAGCGTACTTGCATCTACAGCACGTGGAGACTTCGCGCCCTTCCCAACGGGGACATATGCGCAGGGATACACAACTACACAACACACAATATTCCCTCAATTCATCCTTCTATTGCTACCATCCAGATGTAACTGGAGGGGAATCGCTTACCTAGTCAGCAACTGCTGCCGGAATGTCGCTCTCTCTTCTCCACGCGCGCCGTGTAGAAGCTCGTCTTGCCGCTCTACAGCAGCAGTGTCGTGCGGCGGGTTTAGCTCGCGGTGGTTGCTGTGCCCCGAGTTCGAGCATCTAGAGATAGCATAGCTGTTTGCCTTGGTTACGAAAGGAATGACACCAGTTTAGTCGCTATTCGTCTTGGCATGCTGCGGCCTCTGGTCGTCTGTGTCAAGGCTAGCTAGATCGTCACGCGAGGGCGATGCAGGGCCAAACACAGCCATGCAAACAATTGGGGGCTCGATGGTTCGGATGCCCCCCAACCCCGTCTTCCCATCTGTCTGGCGATCCATAACGATATCTGTCTGAGAGCTTGTTGTACCCTGCGCCTCTAGCTGGTACACACATAGCACTCGTGAATCCCCGCACACCCTCACACAAAAGCCCATATTGAATTGTGTATGCGTTCATTTAGTACACATTGTGCCAACGTATCCTTGGAGACGAATTTGTTGCGTTTTGTCCTTCCTGAAAAAAAAAGAAATTGTAGTACATTGAAGCCAGTTTTCCCGGACCGTCGAACCGACACCACAATCTACAGCAGTCAGGAGGTCTGCCCTTCGGTTGTGACTGCCTCCCAACCTGTAACATCGGTGCTTTCACAACCAGGAGGTCTGGCCTAAGGTTGTGGCTGCCCCCCAACCTGTGTGATCGGTGCTTGCACAACTAAGTGGTATGGCCTAAGGTTGTGGCTGCCCTCCAACCTGTGTGACCGGTGCTTGCACAACCACGAGGTGTGGCCTAACGTTGTGGCTGCCTCCCAACCTTCCGCATCCGTCCTTGTACAACCAAGCCGTTTGGCCAAGGTTGGGGCCTCCGCCCAACCCCCCTCTACAACCTGCCCCTACCTTGTGGATGCCCACAACCCACCCACAACCTGCCCTCTGGCCACCCGTGTCCCTATGGTAATTGACCTTGGAGTGGTGCTGACAATCTGCCGCGAAGAACTTCGTCTTTGCGGGTCATAGGTCAGAAGCGTGGCGGGACCCCTTGTGGTGTTCGGCAACAACGCGTGGACAGCAAAAGTAGCAAGTAGGTTCGCTCAGGTGGCGGTGTTGGTCGTTGGCGGTTTGAAGGATTACGTTAATGGCGACCACCGGTATAGCACGGCCGTCGAGGAAGCTGGTTACGCGGGAACGGGAAATCTGTGTTCGTGCAGTATTGATGGAATCTCGTGGTTGACTCGTAGCAATCTTTCCGTGGAGTCGAGACACCCTATGAAGTACAGCAGCGACAATCTGAATTTTACACACTACTACGTTGCCACAGGTTCCTGTTCGTTCTGAGGAAAGCTACAGAGCAGTAGCCGTGCTTTTGTCGCAAGCACTAAATGAAGTCACACCTCGGTGAGTGACATGCCAGAAATACAGAGCAAAACACCGGCCACATGCGACGACGGTGATCTCTGCGCATCTTCATGCGCTCCATGAAAGTTGAAGGGTGCCAAACCAAAATACAAAAATACTGCCGTTGCAGACATTGCGTAAGACAGCAGTTGTCTACAACAGCTGAAGCAGCAGCCACAATCTGGATTTTACACACTGCTACGTTGCCACAGGTTCTTGTTCGTCTGAGGAAAGCTACACAACAGTAAGTAGCCGTGCTTTTATCGCAAGCACTAAATGAAGTCACACCTCGGTGAGTGACATGCCAGAAATACAGAGCAAAACACCGGCCACATGCGACGGTGATCTCTGCGCATCTTCATGCCCTCCATGAAAGTTGAAGGGTGGAGGACGATTCAGGGTGGAGGACGATTCCCTCTTTTCACACCAAACCGAAATACAAAAATACTGCCGTTGCAGACATTGCCTAAAACAGCAGTTGTCTACAACAGCAGCATCTTAGAGGAGGACGGGGCGAAACACGTGTCAACACAGAGGTGGTTGCGCCGGAGTCGTATCAGCAGAGGCTGTATGTGGACCGGTTATACAAAGCAGCGGCAAGACCCACCTGCACACCTGCACCTGGAGAGAAACCGAGAGAGCGACGAGCGGAACGCAGGGTCGAGTGGCCCGATGGTCCATTCGTCCATTTTTCGGCCTGTTCGTTCGCACTACGGTCTGTTCAAAATCCAAAATTCAAAACAAGCGACCTCACCTTCTCTGGGAGGACACGCGGGCACTCTGCTCTGCGATGGGCATCTTGTCGCTGTCAAAATATGCGAAGAGTGTGGGGTCGCTGAGCGTAAACCTGCAGCACGCGGAACACGATGACCGCATCGTAGTGGACGGCGGCTTTCTTCTTCACCGCTGCTGTACAAGGAGGACAGCGGCACGCGATTTATTGCTGCACGACGACGTCACCCCGCTTGTCAAAGAGTGTGCTGCTGAGGTCTCGCGGTTCGAGTCGCGTGGTTTCAAGGTCACCGTAGTCCTCGATGGAAGCACTCCGTCGGCGAAGAAGAGCACTTCCGAAGCTCGCAGAACCAAGCGGGAGGCTGCAGCCAGTGAGGCCCGCGAGCTCCAAAGAACTGGGGGCCGACTTACGGAGATCAACAAGAAGGCCAGCAGTGCGTGCGTGTTCGACTCCCGCGTTGTCGCAAGGGTTGCAACGCTCTTGCGACCCCAGATAGCAGGAGAGGTTTACATCGCTCCAAGGGAGGCCGACCCACAGATAGTGATTTTCCAGGACATCTACCTAGAGACGGGGTGTCCTGTGTATGTTTTCGCGAACGATTCGGACTTGATCGTCCTCGGTGTTCGATCGTTGCTGTGGGACGTCAGAGGGACTGATGCGGGAAATCTCACGGGGGTGTGCATCAGGTCGAGGTTGATATTCCAACCTCCGGAGTGGGCTTTCGGGATGGACGCCGAAGGCTACGACTTTCTCCGGCAACTGCACGGGCTTCCCCGCAGGCACACGCCTAACTTACGCGCTTCTCCTCTTACCGAAGCCGCCGCCCGCCGTAGGCTGAGTTTGTTCGCCACTCTCGCCGGAAACGACTTCGCCGATTTCAAGAACATCGGCCCTGTCAGGGCGGCCAAAGTAGCCTTCGAATTGATCGAACCAGATCCTCGGGGAACAGCCGCCGTTGTGCCTTTTGAGGCGCTTGTGGGCAACTTGGCAAGGATCGTCGTGCAGGACTCCAAGGAGGAGGAAACACCAGCGGCCCTGGAGGAGGCGGAGGAAAAGCTCAGGAGGTCTCATAACATGTTCCACAATGCGGTGGTGTGGGACCCGTTGAAGAACACCCTCCGACATTTCTCCTGTGCTGCGTCTTCGCTGGCCTTCACCAAAGACACAGGTCAGAGTCGTGGGGATCATGTACGTGTCACCTGCTCCTCTAACTCCAAATATCCCCCACCTACGTGTAGTATCTCGGGGGTAACATGAATTCCTAGGAGTGGCATGTTGTTCGGTGTCTGTACCTTCTCGTTCCGCAGTAATGGCTAAACGTATCGTCGACGTCGTGTCTATGTGCGTGCATGTGTAGTCTCCAGACAGAGTGTTTAGGTCTTTGGTGCACATGCGGTGCAGCCTCTATTGTTCGAATCTGGACTTTGCCCATGTCGTGGCAGCGGAACGAACGCAACATTTTTTGGCCGACTCTCAAGCGCGCCCAGAATTGCCGTGGGGCACTCTGCGCAATAACAACATACATAGTATTGTAGGCGAGCTAGCTTCCGGTGTCTGTGTGTGGAACATGAAACAATACTGCTGTACCACGGTTGCTCCTGCTGTATTACCACAGGTACCCTGGAGTTTTCCTCTGTCGCCTCTGGCATAGCATCGGGGGAAGTTTCTCCTACCACGGGCCAGGTGTGGGCCCCGCCATTACTGGAGACCCGGATAGCACAAGAGTTTCGCCGTGCTACACGACGGGCCGGGAGCCAGACGCCGCCGCCGCCGCCGCCGGGACCGACGCCGACCCCGGACCAGAGTACGGGCCGGAACAAGCGCTCTCGCAAGGCGGTGACTCACGACACCAACAACTACCATAAGCACGGGTTTAGTCGTCTCCCCGGTGCCGAAGAAGACTTCAACAAGTGGACAGTCGCACAGCTACGCGAATTCCTCAGCGTGAGTCCAGCAGTTGCTTTCATGGCTACGTTTGGTATGCACACGGGATATTTATTTCAAGGGTTGAACAATGGCGTCGCAAACTGCCGCGCGGGAATTTCAAAGTAGTTTATAGCTTGGATTATGCTTAAATATGTTGAGCTTTCGAAGGACACGCATTGATCACAGGAACGAGTGTACGACGTCCCGTAGGTGTCGCGGCACCCCCACTGTTAACCGTTTGTCATGCGTACACGCACAGCGTGTTGCGAAGAAAAAATCCCCTCACGTGGTCCCTGTCCTATACTCGTGGCAGGTTTTTAGGTGCCTCGACCACGCCGGCCACAGCGCGTACCTCAAGGGCCCCCTCGCCGAGCTGGCGGGGCAGGTAGTGGCGATGATCAAGAAGTGCGGGTTGCTCAACAGCAACCAAGCGTTCCGCCATCCTGTCCCAGATCTCAGCTCTTTCCAAGACAAGGAGCGCATGGCCATGCCCGAACTACCCGGCCCCCGTTCGCAGATAAGCGGCTTTGAACATCTACAGCAGCACCTCCCCGAAATGTCCAAGTCGGTGATTCTGCAGTTCCTCCGACAAGTCAACCCCATCTCTGGCGAGGGTTCGCGGGTTTGGTACAGGGGGATGCAGAAGGTTATGGATATGGGAAACCTGAACAGGTTGTGGGGCGTCCCGGCCAAGAACGGGTTGATGTATCTGTGAATGAGGTAAGTAGCCACTGGATGGTGCGACCGGAAAGTTACCACGCGAGAGGTACTTACTATTGTTGTTGCTGTCACGTGCTGGTGGCGTCGTATCCTTTCGGCAGGCCTGTAAGCGCTTCTCCCACACCGAACGCAGTCTTACCGCTACCAACTACATTCGACACGCATTTCGCGCCATAGTCTTCAAGATCACACCACAACCGCCCCCACCCCCACCCCCTCCTGCATCCCTCATGCTCTGGTAGCTTCGTTGGTGCTCTTTTGGCGCAACCCACTAGTTCACTTCTACGGTAAGACGCCCACATTGTTATGCCATGCTCCTGACAAATGAATACCCGCCAGTCCTCTTTAACGGTAAGAAACCCGCTTATTTGTTTTCATGCTTGTGACGCAAATACGACCTTGCCTCGACGATTGTACCTCACGCCATCTTCCTTACGTCCACGTTCGCTTCTGGTCAGCGCCAGTGCCTCCTTCTCGGATACGAAAACGTACGAGGTCCGCATACAACTGCGGGTGGAGGCGTTGGACGAGAGCGCTCATCCCTCAGCAGCGGAGGAGGAGGGGCACGGGGTAGAATCTGGGCAATGGCCGAGACAGCCCCTCGTCGCCCTTGGTGTGGTCGCCGCTCTGTGCGAGTGTCCTGCCGGCATGAGCGGGGGATGCTCCCACACTGCAATGGTCCTCTTCTTGACTCGTCTGCTGCAGATGACCGAGGACGAACTAGCTACGTTCAACCCATCTACATGTACCGGTCGAGCTTGCAGTTGGATCATGCAGAACTGTAAGGGGGGCAGGTTGGGAGAGCAGTGTACGTTGTATGGAGAACCTCTATCGCACGGCACGAATGTGGTCAGGAAAATGCGGGATCCTCGGCGAGGCTTTGACGACGACGTTCCGGCGAAAGTACAGGGAGTAACCGCGATCGATCGAATGCAAGACTTCAACCCGCACCCCTCTGGAGGAAAGTGGGATGAACTGAAGCTCCACTTCGATGCTGGCAAGGATTTCAGTAGGTTCAAAATGGACAAGCTGCTGGCGTTCGTGGATTGTGCCAGGGGCCCGAATAACAGAGCAGTCGCCATGGATTACCTTCCGCCGCTCGTGCGTGAAGATTGCGACCTGTAGCTTTGTGGTTCCTTTTCCGTTCAGAGTGTTTTCCGTGCAGAGTGTTTTGTTAGCGGCACTCCAATGTGGCCTCTCTTTGGTGACTTCTACGTAAACGTGTCTACAGGCTCGACCCTCAGAGGTTAGTGCAACATTATTTTGTGGTAGGTTCGTTTTATTGGGTGTCATGGGGGGGGGTCTACGCACGGGTGCCACGTGGGACGTCTACGCACGGTAGGGTTGAAAGTACCTTTTCGCTTTGGGCGCGGCGTCATCCGTCCGTCGCGACCATACACCCCATAAATTTGTTGCAAGATGAAGCGGGGGACAAAGAGCTACCAGCTCTCGCAAAATACATGGGTTTTCTTTGGCGAGTGCATGCTTTGCCTGCCGCCTTCGCTACAATAGACTCTTTTTTTAGCTCGCTGCACGAGCTGCGTGTATTCGCCCCTGAACACGGCCCTCGTGCCCATTTTAACGTTCATCATGTGTCGGCAGAAGATTCGTGCGATATGATGGAGGGTTAAGAGTGATATTTTCCTGTTTTTCCCTGACACACTTGCCTTCCGTCTACGGAATCCTATCTAAAAACAGAGAATTAGAAACAGCTAGAGTAGGTATCATGCCAAACCCGAAGCAGTCACTGCTGCCGACCTGCCCTGAACTCAAATCTGGTAGGATGGGATTTAAGGCCATTGTTTCAGAACGTGATTACACAGCGAGGTTGTTGCAATGGTTCCATTAGCTCGGATGCTCTCTTGCAAAATATACACCGTTTAGGAGGTGCTCCCCGCAAGCGAACACTGGCAATCCCGCACTAAGCCTGAGGTATATCTAGCAAGTACATCACCGTGTATGCTCACTCGCCCAGCACATCCACCCGCCGAATATCTCCGTCTACTCTTGGATGTACTTCTACTACATGTACTACATAGAATTTTCCTCAAACCGCAAATGGCACAACACCAACAGAACACCACACAACATGCGCTTCAACAGGAACTCTACCATAACACCACACAACACGCGCAACAAGGATGGGAGAGCCAACGCGACGGGGCAGCACATCCGCGCGCATACAGCGACACACGCACACACACCGTACACCCCGGTATCCCTAGCTCCGAAACGGCTGTTGCATCAAGTTTACCAAAGCAGCCACTACATGAAAGCACATCTCCAGGTGATCGAGTTGCTTGTGATGGGACTTCGAGTCAACGATACTCCACTTCTTCATTGCTCCAATTGCTCGTTCTACGTGAATGCCCAAGTTGGCTACCTCCCAATTTTGCTGCATGTCGGCTTTGGTGAACTGAGTCTCGCCGCTAACCTTGAAGGGTGGCGCGCAATAGTGAATACCTTCCCTTATCAGCAAAGGCGAGATGGAGTTGAAACCCTTGTCGGCCATCACTTTGAAACCCATGTTAGATAGACCGTTTTCCCTCATAGCGTCGACGAGACCAGACTTGCGGACAACCTCAACGTCACTCATCCTCCCTGGGTACGCGGGTCCGATGTAGCAAATGGCACCCCCGGGGGTTATCGCTACAAGGATTTTAGCCGTGTGCCTGCCCTTGTACGTGGAAAAAGACACAAAATTCATGTTTGTTTGCCACGACTTGGGAATCTCTATCTCCGTGGCATCCAACACCAACGCGCAATTCTCATAACCTAAGTCGTCGAAGTTCTTGGGGAGAAGGTCGACGACCTCTTTTGCCGAAGGCAACCGTATGACAGGACGGAGGCTGCGATAGAGGAAACTCAGCCACGTCGTGAAAGCCCTCCCCCCGGTACTCTCGTGCACACCGAATAGAGTCGACGCCACAACCAGCGGCATCGCCGTGCGCAACACCATCAACGTAAAAAATAGTCCGTTGACACCACGAAAAGTCTTGACTCGCTGGCTGTTTCCACCCGCTGAAACGCCTGCCCGTTCTCGCTGATCGAAAAACACCATGTTCTCCGCAGCGCCGTCGGCGTTCGCGAACTCGTACAGCTTCTGCAGGGTAGGTGCGGGGAGATGGGAGGAAGGGAGAAAATAGCCACGGGTTATGCCGGTGAAGATTTTGTGGGCGGCTACGCGGTCACAGCGGCGGAGCAATGCCGCTATTCGGCCGAAAGCGAAATGTTTGAGCAGAGACGTCCACGGCTTGAGCGGAGGCGATAAAACTAAAAGCAATGGCCGGCGGGAATGCAATCATACGTTGGTCATAATTTAGCGGTAGCCGGTCCTATTTTTCTTTAAGCGCTAACACGGCTTTTCGCGGCAAAAACAATAACGGCGGTACACCCGGTGAACGCCGGTGTTTGTGTAGGAAAGTTGGCGCCAGGTTACTTACCGACACCACTTGAAAAACTGAACAACACAATGCTTCGATTCGATCTGATAATCACCACTTGCCCTAGCCAGAAAACACACGAGGTTAACCGAAAATGCATGCCATTCTCGTTGGCGACAACCATCAACCTGGACTCGTGTTGCCTTTCTTACTACTGCTGTCGTAGCCGATAGACGGGATGATGACAAACACCTACCAGCCTATTGCTGTAGACCTGGACAGCAGCAAAACCAGGACAGCACTCCTCTTGTCTCGGGCAAAGCATTACACAAACACGGGCGCCCACCACTACCGTATCTTCAGCACTGCTGTAGGACGCGCAGCAAATAATCCATTCCCGATCATACTGGTAGCCTAGTGGGGTTGTCTGCTGTAATATGTACAACATAAACTACATGCCAGCTGTGTACTGCTGTAGGTTTCGAGCGACATATCTTGAACGCACGAGCTCAGCTGCCACAACAGCAGTTAGTTGTAGACAACGTACGAACTAAATACCAGTTTTTAGACTATGCAATGACGTGAAAAATGGGGCATGCGTTGTATCGGGGCTGCAGGCGAGGCGGGGGTGTCAATAAGAAACACCACAAACAATTTCCCGCAAACTGTACAAAACTAGCGTACAGCAGTCCTTACTTACCAGGAGAGCCTCGTGGGTGGGCACCCCCGCCAGGCAACGAACTTCTGTTGGCGTCTTTCCACGGAGGATGTTGTGGCCGATCCCAACGTCCGCCGGCTGTGATGACCTGCCGTGTGCTTCATGTTTATCCACCGCCTCCTTTAGCTCCGACTCTAGCAGGGAGATCCTAAGCCCCAAATCTCTACTTTTCTCCTTGAGTCGTGCTTCCTTCTGAGCCCCAGCTAGCAGCGCTCTCCGATGTCGGTCGTTCAAAGCTTCGAGCTTGAGACTCCTTGCCAGGGCACCACGAGAAGCTTTGAGCATCTCCTCGCTCGTTTGGCTTGGCAGTGCTCCCTCCTTCACGCTAACCTCTACCGCTTCGCCGGTTAGGGGTTTGCTCTTTGTTGGAAGTGCTTGTAGTACAAGAACGGCTCTATTCTACTGCATGGGTTTATGCGGTATTGTGAAGGCGTCGCCAAGTCTGTAACCGTCAGGTGAAGACAGCTTGGGCGTCGGTGTGAAGATAATACAATCGCTCTGTGTTTCTCTACCCAAGCCTCCGTCACATACGGAGCCACAGCATACAACAGCCGTTGTCGTGCTGTTAGGTCGTGAGCCTCGCGCGGTAGGGGAACTGACACGAGTCACATGGCGTCCGCAGCTCCCACCACGAATCCAATGCAACGTGGGTTTGTCCCTTTTGATGGTGATGATGCGAGCTTCCCTGGATGGGTCACTCTCACACGGGTCTTGATGCATAAGGCTGGCCTCGGAAAGATAATGTCTGGAAAAGAACAACCGCCTGAAGATCTGACGGGAGATGAAACCCCGGATGCACGGACGGCGCATGCCACTGCGATGGAGAAATTCGCAGAGAGAAAAATGGCGAGCTGTACACGCGGCTTCTTATGTCGACGTCCGACGGCGCAGGAGGGTTCTCCCGCGCGGCATCACAGGTGGTACAGAGGTACGGGCCGATTGGAGAGGCTGAGTATGGGGATGGTCGTGCTGCCTTTGTGGCGCTAGACAAGAAGTACAAGGTGGCGGGTCCGTATCGGATGAAGCAGCTGCACGCCCAACTGGCATCCGTCACCGTCACAGCAGCCGACGAATATTTTGATCCGTCGCGCGCAATCCAGGAGTTGCGCCGCATTTCTGCCGAGTTGGGTTCTCTCGGCGATGTTGTCGTCGACTCGCGTCTGTTCAACGCTTTGCACGACGCTCTTCCGGACAGTCACTACGGCGAATTGAAGACTGCGTTGCTGTGTGAGCCAAGCTTCCGGTGGCAACGGTCGAGGAAGCGGCCGGGATAATGGTCAAAACTCGAAGGGCTTGTGCAGGTACTGCCACAACTCCAAAGAGCACGGGTGGCACAACTGCCCGCTTCGCCTTTCGCAGGAGGCAGAAGAAGCCAAGGAACAGGCTGCTCATGTCACGCAGGAGTCGACCACGCAGGCGTGGTTTACGCGGATCGAGGGACCCAGCAGCGAGCTGGAGGACTTCGCAATTGTTATCGGGGATGACTCGCAGGTGCAGACGGAGCCTGCTGACTACATGCGGGTGCAGGAGGCACCTGCTGCGGCGCTGCCGGAAACCCGCGCCGCCGACAACCCGCAGGTGCAGAAGGTGCCTGGTGCGGCGCAGCCAGAGGAGCGCGCTGCTGGAGTTGTGCAGGTGCAGGATGTGCTTGCTGCGGTGCTGTGTGATGAGTGCGCCGC